CCACCGCTGGATTTAACTGTCTGAATTCTAAAAATGTACATTTATTAATTATATAGTGCCTTTAAAAGTTCTACAGTGAAGCGAAAAAAGCAGTATTTTCTGCAAACAACATCCTTATATAATCATGAGGGTTTTATAGATGACAAAATTAATTTTAAAAAAAAATGATGGTAAAAGAGTGTCAGAAATCTCACTTCACTGCTCACAATTTTCTGCTTTTTATACACTAAACAAACAGTAATCTAAAGGGAAATCAGTCATCACCAGAGATGGCAAAAGGACTCACATTCTTTACTTAAGCCGAAGTCGAGATACTGGTGTAAAAATACTCTGGTAAAAGTAGAAGTACTGATTCAACTCCTTTACTCAAGTAAAGTATAAAAGTACAGGTTCAGAAATTTACTTAAGTACAAAAGTAAAAATGAATTTTTAGCTTCAATGATACACGATGCCTCTTTTGATAAAGTTTTAAGCACACAAAATAGGATTGTTTTCATCCTTTGGGAACCGGCACAGTGTTGGTAAAGAGAAAAAAAATCACTGGACAGTTTTCCATTTCAGCAACATTATAAACATTAAACATTATCATCAACATGGAAACACTCATCTGTTCAAGACGACCTAAATCTTTTATTGAGCCTCAGCAGAAGCTGGTTCTCAAAATTCTCTGAATGAAGATGAACCCTTTTGGGTCTGAAAATCAGTCCTGCAGTGCTAAAAAGCCTCTGGCAGGCAGGGATGTATTGAGCTTCAGTGACAAACTGGAACGATAAAGACGTTTGTTGTTACGCCATGTCGTCATCCGCAGAGGTTGAACCAAGTAACGAGAACGTAAGGAGTAGAAAGTCCAGATATTTGTGTTCCTAAAAGTCATCAGAAAAATTAATACTCAAGTAAAGTACAGATACCTGCAAAATCTACTTAAGTACAGGAACAAAGTATTTGTGCTTCATTACTTCCACCTCTGGTAACAACATTGGTTGCATTCCTGACTTACAGACAAACAGACACACAGGTAGCCACAATGCAGCAGGACAAACACACATCTAACAACCAGCAGTAATGGCCACTTCTGTCTGAGCTGCTCGGCTTGGCCAGGAGTTTGTGATGGTGAATGATGGAAGAGCCGGGCGGCAGCGGCCAGACCCGTCTGAACAAGACATTTAATGTGGGGACTGCTTCCATAAAGACTAACCACGAGCCTTCTGGGGCTCCAAGAAAACACACATATAAACAGTACGTCCACTGTGGTCAAAACAACAGGAGGTTATTAATGGTCAGGTGTTGCTCCAGTTCAGCTCCGAGCACTTCTCCAGCAAACTGTATCCCGCAAGGAGCCATAATCATCACCCGCTCACCGGCAATCATTTACAGCACCACCGGCTGCCCGGCCTCCTCTGGTCAAACTGGATCCACAGTCTCGTAATAGTCTCCCACACTGTATCTCAGCTGATTTGAGTCACTGCAGCGGTGACAGACCTTCAATCTGTTGGTTTTATCATTCGAATAGAACAGCAGACTCCGAGGAAAGTCTCTAATGGGGGAGTCGGGAGGGGAGAGGGGGGGAGGGATCAGGTGGCTATAAATCTCGCTCTCAGGGACCCTTCAACAGAAAGCACACGAGCGAGCCATGTGATGGATATCTGTGCCGGGGTAAAGGGTATTGATACGTCCGTCAGGAAACCGAGCCGGCGTGCTCCATCTCATGAGAAAGATGGTGTACTGTAAGTAAGAAAGTTCAAACCCAAGGAGAAGAATGCGGGCAAAGGACTGCAGTCGCTTCAGCAAAACTTAGCGGGCAACAAAGACGGATAGTGACTCTAATCACACAGACTGAGGTTAAAAAGAGGAAGATTAAATGATGTAAAAGGTGGCGCTGAGTTGTCTCTTTTACAGATTTCCTTCACCCAGACTACAGGTGTCCCCGATGAGACAAAAGGGCAAAATGTGGGGAGGATGCACCCTGTTCTTTCTCTGCACGCACTCATTTCATTTTTTGGAAAATATAATTATGGACGCCATATATAGAAATTTCCACGGACCAGTGAATAACGTAGAAGAATCTTTTCTGCACGGCATTAATGGCAAGCAAATGTGGAATAATGGATTTAACAATATATTCTGCTCCAGTAATGTATTCATATTTCACTCATCCAGCGGTGGTGGACAATTTTATGCTGCGCTCCCCTCAACTCGCTTGGCCTGCAAATCAATGTCCATTAAAGCGAGTGAGTGTTCATATGTCATTGGATCCCGTTTCCATTAATTCTGCTTCTGCCCATATTTCAACCTCTCCCACCGACTGCGGTCCAAAACAGTCCAGCCGCAGTGCTGTGTGTACACTCCAGGAGGCTGCTACAGGCAGATGCTCATTACGGCGACACATTGACCTCCAGTGACTTCACAGTATACCGACAATGAACTGCACCATTTGTGCTGTGTGGTTGTCACATGCGGTTTTTAAACCTTTATTTATCCAGCCAAGGTCTTTCTTTTGGCAAGGCCGAGCTTCACACTCGTAAAGTTTCACAGCTTCACACCTGGATGCTGTCCTTTGTAGCCACGGGCCTTTACGCCGAGCTTCATGGAGCGACTGTGGCTTCTTCAAGGACGCGACTGTGGTAGCTCTTCAGCGGGGGAGAAATAATTTTCATTCACTTTTCCTCCTACATTGAATCAAATTACTTAAGCTCGCTTCTCTAGCCTCTAAACGGCACCTTGTGCTGCAGTGGAAATGCAATGAACGCAACATATAATGCACTTAGGACTGTTGTTTCTTCATTTATTTCCCCTCAAAAAAATATCTTGTACCTTTTACAAAATGCAGTAAAAGATGAGGAGAATGGATGAACAGGTTTAGTTCTTTTCAGGATGTTATTTTATTCATTAAAGAGTTTTTTAAGACAGAAAAAAAGCTCCTTAAGTCCATTCAAAAGTTGTATTTGCATCACTGACCGCCGTCTTTTCACAGTTATTGTGGTTGTCTTACTTTGTGTGACAGTATATACACGTTTGGAGCTTGCTCAAGCTGAACTCTACATGAATGTCACGACAATTTGAACAAAAACAGCTTTTTGACAAATCGGATTAAGTTAATCGTCAGTGATTGGTTCGTTGCTTCTTGTTTTGAACTGAGGGTTTACCATCTGCTGCATTAGTTTCTTTTTTGTAATTTACTTTTCCTCTTTAAATGGTATCGTTTTTTTTTAAAGAATCTGGTGGGTTTCCTCACTGGGGCTTGGTTCATGCAGTAAAGTTGTTCAGTCCATCCAACACTTATCTCAAACTTACACTATAGGGTCCTCGCCAGGATTGTTTTTACAGCATATTGGGGTGGAAGGCTCATCGTCGGGGGGGTATTAGTGAATACTGTGCTAACGGTTAGCGGCGAATACACTAGTGAATAGCATTGTCAGCAGGGAAGATGACGGTAGTGAAGCTCTATTGGCGCTTGTCGTTAAATATTTTCCCGTTGCGTACCCTCGAAACCAACGTATCGGCCCAATTTGCAGCGTAATTTTTTTCAGGCAGCAGCGTAACGAGCCGTTACTCTGTTATACCGCTGATGAGAACCCTGCTGCTCACATATGCAGTATTGCTCAGAATTTTTGTTCGGATTATTCAACAGCTACAGGAATGCGTTACATTACTTGTGACGTACTGTCATTACTGCACACAGACATTACTGTTTCCACAGCATCTCCTCCTCTAAATGTAATACATTCAGAACGACATAAAACGAGAAATTATTGTTAATAATAAGCAGCTAACAAACATTTAGAGGCTTCAGCCCATCAACAGCTATTGTTGGACTCAGTTACTGTGTTAGAACCACAGAGGTTCTCTCCCTCAAGAGAAGGTTCCCAACACTAAACTGAACCAGTTCCTGGAATAGCAGTTTACCAGTGACTAAGCAGAGCCAGCTAAGAAAACTTTCAAATTAAACACTTTGGGAGTTACCAGGACACACATGTCTCCTGCTTTAGTCAAAGATAACCGGCTCCCCACAGCTGCAGCGTCCGTGATGCTTCGATGTGCCGAAGCAGTCGCTCAAGTGAACGCACACATGACGTTGAAATGAAGCTTTCTAACATCTGGCGTTTTACGCCTTCATCATTAGACACGTCCATATGTAGATGTTTGATAAAAAGCAGGGAGGTTGTAGCACCAAAACATGGTTTCTCTGAACTGTCTGTGCATTTAAAGCTGGAAAATATCTGAGCAGTTAAAATCTGAAATAATATGGTAAATGGTCTGCACTTATATAGCGCTTTTCTACCTTAGCAGCACTCAAAATGCTTTACAATGTGTTTCTCATTCACCTATTCACTCACACATTCATACACCAATGGCGACGGAGCTGCCATGCAAGGTGCTGCCTGCTATTGGGAGCAACTTTGGGTTCAGTGTCTTGCCCAAGGACACTTCAAATGGGGAGGAGCGGGGATCGAACCATCAATCTTACGATCAGAGGACAACCGCTCTACCACCTGAGCCATAGCCACCCAAATAACAATTCTTTAAAATACCATTCGCAGTGCAAACCCTGTACTTTAGTGATTTCTATTTTTACTATTCAAAGGATTGCTCATTTGGTTGTCGCAATGGGGCACTGATTATTGTAAAGTGCAGTGAAAACTACACTTTTAATTGCTGTAAAGTAAAATACCAAACAAGAGATGTTTAAACCAACGTGGCCCCTTAAAAACACAGTTTAAATGTGGCAAAAAAATCTATAAAAACACCAAAACAATGAGCCTTATGAATACTTTTTAGACGTAAAACTGTTTTTCGTTCAAAAACTTGCACTCAAATACTACGAGATAACTTTATGTGGGTAATGTGGTGACGCGTGGACACACACAAACACACGGCGGTGCACAAATGCTGTCACACTCAGCGGCAGCCTGTTCATCATTCATACTGCAGGGCTGGTTGGAGATAAAGGATGCAGCAGATCTCACCAGAGTAGAGGGATAACAGACATCTATTAATCTTACCTCCTCTCCTGTCAGGTAGTAAGCCGACAGCAACCCGCCGACGTAACGGATGTTCACCTCAAAGAGTGATGCCTCGCCGTTCTGTTGAACCAAGAGAGAGAGATCAAATTGTCAAATGTGGTATTCAGCCAAGGCCTCGGTTCGGGCTAAAGCAGTGGTATTTATGCAAAAACATACACACACACGGTACATATCATGAATTATTTCATACTCAACTCGGGGTTTTATTTTATTTAATAGCCGACATTTCGGTAGACTACGCGCCCTTGGAGATCTCTTAAGCATACTGCAGTCCAGATGTGTACATAAATATTCCATTGAAGCATCAGGTGGCATAATATACTGAGATGCCTAGTGGACATAGCCTGACGTTGAGGACCAGATTCTATTGCGGTACCACTCCAGTCCTCAGTCTAACATGATCTGTTTCTGTTACGAGGGCCCTTAAGTTTGGATCGATGTCATCAGACTTACTCAGATGAACTTTGCAGACATAGATCAAATAGAGAGAAAAAAAAAAACATTTGTGAGATGTATAGATGTAACTACTGATCAAGTCTTTCTGATTAATTTTCACGAGAAACAAAGGTGCTGATGAAAAAGTTCCACCTGTGATTCCTTGGGTGGGAAAAAACAGCGATGCAACACATTCCTTAAAAGAAATGCTTCTGCGTGGTGTTGTTCTGAGTAAAGAGCTGTTAGATTGCAGTCAGTGGAAAGCTTTGGTACCTGTGGTTGTGAACGTAGCTGTTAATTAAAAACTGATCCAAAGAAACCTAAAGTGCAAAACAAATCCTTAAAATGTGCGAGTTCACTCAAAGCAGGCTCAAAAATTGCCTCAAACTGCTGGATGATGAAGTTTCATAAAATGCAAAACGGTGGTTAATTTTGTTTTTTAGCTCTAAACAAACTACAGAAACTATGAATGCTTGCTATTGTTGTCTAGATGAAAATGATCCTCGTTGTACAGCTGAACATAACTACTTTTCCCCTGTAGTCTGATTATGCTTTTATTTTGGTAACAAGAACTGGAAAGGAAGCAGAACCACAACACTCTATATCTCCATCCTCCATCCCTCGCTCACTACTGTGCAGACTGCAAATTATCAAAGCATCTCAAATTACCATCTATAAATTTAAACAAAACACGATTGTCTTATTCTACAATAGTTAGGCTTTACAGTGGATCCCCATGACAACGGCAACTGTGGTTGCTAGGAGATGGTATGACAGTTTTACAAAAACCTCCAGTGACTGAATGATTAATTGCATTATCCCTCATTAGGCGATTGTGTTGTATTCATTAGTCTTGTCATTAGTCTGACAGTATATATACAAGGACGAGAACAAGCCAGTGAAGCAGTGCGAGTTCCAGTGTTGACATCAACGTGACACACCCGTATACCATCAGACTTTATTTAAATACTCAGTGTAGTTCACTCAGAAAATGTGTGAATTGTTCTTGTGTGTGTGTGTGTTTAAGTGATTTAAGGGGGAAAAAAAAGAAAAAAAAAAGTTTGATATCTTGCTCCACAGCTTTCAGGACTCCGGTGTTTGATTGCCACATTAGTCACTGTGGGAAACGGGCCGGTGAACTTCTGCTTATGAGAAAGTCTCTCTAACCGCCAGGCTCCCAGGCTCCCCTTCCCCTCTTTCTAAGTAATGGAGATTCCCTCTCCAAAGAAATCAACGGCTGAGGCCAGGCCGGCCTCAACAAAAGTCAGGCTGGAAAGCTAAAGCCATGTAATCATGTTCCCCAGTGTTTTGTTTCCTCTTCTGTCTCAGAGTCTCTTACAACTTCAGGGCAGTATTGATTAATGGAGAGCAAGTTTACTGGAGAGCAAGTTCACTGGTTAAACGGGAATTTAACTCGAGTGCCTCTCCGATAATATTTTGAAATGCCATCTCTCGCTCGTGTTATTTCCATCATTTAGAGTTTTGAACTTAGCACCATTCTTTTTTTAAACTTATTATTGAACAGATAATTACCAACTCTCAGCTAACGGTTGGGACCTGTATTTAACTACTGGGAGAAACAGACAAGAAATGTACTGAATAATTGCTTAATGGCTATTATTGGAAGTAGCAATGGGAAATAATTGTTGAATAAATTGGGTTTTCCTGCTTGATAAAATAGCAGCTCGGAGCAGCAGGTTCGGTCAGCACGGCTCGAATCTGTTTTTGTCCAGATGTAATTAGCGCCGTGGAAATACACAGTGTGCTGAACTCATCGCGCAGTAAGACTACGTGTGACTTTTACTCCTTTGTCCGCCACCAGCCTTGAAGTTCTGTAGAAAAGTAAAACCTCAACAGTATTTCTTTTACTCTGAAAGCAAACAAAAAGCACAAAAAAAAGAAGCTGTTTCTGTATTCAACAGCCGTTGCTCTTTAAACTACTGTGACTTTAGATGATTACAGAGCAGCTTTTTGATATTTTCATTGGTGTACCTACAAATAAATATCTAGTTCCACTTACTGAGAGACATAAAAACACGTGCATTTGCTAAAAAACTTTTTTTTGCCGAAAATCAGTATTCTAATACGCCAACTGCCAAATTGCGCCGTGGTGCCATTTCCCCATGAAATATGTTTGCTCTATTTCCTTTTCAAAATGAAATATGAAATAAGAGGTAACACTGCATGTGTCTCAATATGTCACCATAATTATTGCCTCTCGTGCGAGCTGAAGGTTGAAGCAGAATGATACTCATTGACTTGGGGACCCATTGAGAAGGAAATTGCTATCTCAAGAGTGGATTATAAGGAAAGTGTAATTGGGTGCCAGAAAGGGCAATTTGCTCCACTTGGGAGGAATACGATCGAGACCGGGGGGGGAGTCACTGGCAACTGTTCAATGCGTTCATTTATCTCCATATGTATCTTCTCTTTAAGATCTTTATATACTTAATCCCATTTGATATTATGATACTTAACATAAAATCAATAATTGGAATCAATAATCTTCAAATGTGTTTGCCTCTTAATCTACATATTTGATGCTGCCAGCAGAAGATTACTACAAAGATTTCTTAACAGCACCAACTTGGCAGAAGAAGCATCTTAAGAAGTTAGAATACTTTTATTTTTTACTTTGGGGAATATATTTATCAGCGTTCTTGCCAACAGTGAGAGGAGGAGGAGGTCAGTATCAGATTTGAACAGTTAATATCAAGTTGTTGTTTTTACACTTTTAATTTTCTGTTTGAAATAAACCAACTTGACTGGTACTGGTGTAGCGTTAGAGGTGCTTGTCGGTTGGTTTTTCTCATGTTTACATGGAACCAGCTGAGATGTTTCATGTCTTTACATGAAGTTAAACCGCTGCAGCTTTATATTCATCCTACAGACATGACAGCAGCACATGTAACTCCTGACAGCCGAGCGAAGATGAAAACGTTATCGTATGTTGTCATGCTTTATGTAATTCTTTGATTCGGGGAATAACAGCAGGGTTGCAGCACAGCGAAAGGTGCAGGCTCCGTCTGTACAGTCAGCACACTCGTGACATTTTCTGAAACAAAGCACAGACGCCTCTGGCAGGGCAGCCGAGCCGAGCCGTCTTGCCAACCCTGAAATGAGTGGCCCATTCAGTAATGGCACTACGATGGCAGTGATTAGGGATGGAGTGTCTATTCATCACCAGAGCTCGTGGCTCTCAGCGAGATAGGCAGAAGGTACAGTTCAGGAGAACAAGGAATGCTGACAAAGGTTTTGCCAATCAGACTTTTTACTTCCCAGCACAGGCTCAATAAATCACTCAGCAAGCTTTGTGTTAAACTTCCTTTTATACAGATTTGAAGATACATCAGAAGTGCATTTGGATCTAACGCGAGCCTGTGGGCACGATGTCTGCTCGAACAGCGACTGTTGATGTTTGCATTAGAATCTAATGTATTCTTTTTCTAAAGCAACTAATGCATTGTTTTAATGCCAACGGTTCAGATTTGCGTCTCCATTAAATCAACTAAAAAGGCAAAACCCTGAGGCGAACGCTGAACAATACAACTCACATAAACTGATCATCGCATCATGAGCAAGATATCACGAAGGAAGATTAAAAACAACGTAACAGCCCTCTGAAAGGCTGTTTTCATGTGATTAAACACACATTTATTGTAACTGTACAGGAGGAGAAGCTGAATAACTGTACAGCAGACTGACTGTAAAACTGCTCAGAGCTTTAAAGAAAGAACTTTTGAAGTCCACTAAGCTATAGTCGGACACCCATACAAACACTAAAACTGATTTTTCTTGCTCTCTTTAATGCACCTTCAACACCAAACTTCCCTCTTTGTGTTCTACTGACAGTCTTTGTACTAAAAGATTGAAACATTAGAAGATTATCGACTTGATTTGTCAAACCCAGACTGTTAAAGCTTCACATGAGCCTCAGATAAACCTTGGAATATATTTTTAAACAGAACAATTCTGTTTCAATAATGAACAAATCTCCCGACAACAAGAAATCTCTGTTTGCATGTTCATCTGGGCACATGACTTGAAACATTATGAACATATCCTTTAATGGCTTTTTCCCAAGCTTGCAATTTTGATTTGTCCAAATCCAAAATAAATCGCTTTTTTTGTGTTCCGGCCCTGAGCTTAGTTTCTCATTAAAGCCCAAAATAACTTTTCAAAGCTATTAGGAGTGTGTACTTGAGCTGTGAACAGGACTGGCTGATGTGGGTAAATGAAAATATCAGAATATCCCTGATTGTTTGTACAACTGAAGAGTTCATTTGCAAAAACAGATAAGTCCATCTTCACAGACCTTCAGAAAACCACTTTTCCATCGTCTACCTGAGACAATATCAAACTTATGTTATTTTTGTCATTTCTGCTGAGTCGAATCCACTCAACTTCAGTTTGATATTGTCTCAAGCAAACAACAACAAAAACAAGTTTTCTGAAAATCTACAAAAATGGAGTTATCTGTTTTTGCAAATGAACACTTCAAGTCTAAAAAGGTTCTGTGCAGAAGTGGAAAAATGAAAAAAATGTGTTAATTGCAGTGATTAAGTGGTCAATACTTTAAAAAAAAAAAAAAATTAATCTGGGGTTTGTCTGGTGGTTAGCACCGT